ACAACAGAGTTGTCTAAATCACTTTCATCAATTTCTATGAATAATCAATATAAGACAGAAATTGAAGAAGCAGAAAAGTATAGAATTTTACATCTTTCTTCATCAAAAGTAGATAGACAAGTAAATACCCATCCTCAAGCTATTTATACATCTCGATTACTTAATCCTTTACAGAAAATCTTCCAAAGTATACTGATGATAATCCTGATAATTCTGAATGTTTAGATTGTGCAATCTAGATGAATAATTTTACAGATTTAGCTTACATAAAATTATATAATATAAACATTTGTAATTAATATAGTATTTGTTCAACACTGATTATATAGAATATTGTAAATGATCATAATTTATCATAAAATTTCACTTATTTACATAATAAAATCGGTTTGTAATTGAACAAATTAGCTTAAAATCTTATTAAACAAATTTGTGACAAAGCAATCGATTAAACTATGTTAAATGAAATAATCATTTATTTTAAAAAGTAAATTTCTTATAAGCATAAGTTATAATAACTACTAAATTGTTAATAAGAAGAATTTGTTTATTTTATATCCTTAATAATAACAATAAAAACATAACAATTCATCAATCTTAAGCTTTTATAACATAAACGTAGGGATGGCAACGGTCGGTCATGGACAGTCATCGGTTGATATGTCTGACCATCTGACCGACCGTTTGACTGACCAAACAAAAAAATGATCTTATGCTTTTTTTACAAAATAAATCAAATAATAAATCAAATAATAATTTTATAATCATTTTGCTTAAAATGATTAGTCAAATGATCAGCGAAATAGCCAGTCTGGTGGTCAGTCAAAGCAGTTGGTCACACAAGTTTGGCCAGATGCCTTTAACCAACCAATATTGGTAACAGTCATGACCAGCGCAGTTAATATAATAACTCATCCTAATTGGAAACAATAGTAAATTAAGATGTGACTTTAAAAATATTACAGGTTGGCTAAATAACAAAATTATCACAATAATAATGTATACATGCAAATGAGAGCCAAATAATAAAAAAGTTATCATTAATATTCAACCTTAATAAAATTATATAAACACATGATATATCATTATTAATTTATCGAGTAATAAATATAAACTAATTAAATCATTGCCTTAGGTAGTACAAGTTTATATTATTAATCATATCAACCCCTGTAGCCTATTGAAATAATTTAAAAACAAAATTCGTAAAACTTTATGTTGAATTATGGATAAATAAAGGTAAGTTATTTGTTAAGGCTGATTTACTTTTTATTATATATTTTTTTTTTTATAAACTGTAACGATATTAATTTAATTTATCCCTCATAATTCAATATATTATTCTAGACTTATTATGCTAAATAATATCATGTTTTTAAACAAAGTTACGTATGACCTTTCTGGTGATGATCAGCTTCAAGTCAGCTGATCAAAAGTGCTTAAATATGTAATTGTTATCGGTCATGTTGTAGATGATAACTGATTTACCACTAGGATTGCTATGTATATCATATGGCCGAAGGCCACATGATAGAGTAGCATCCTAGTGTAAATCAGTTATCATAAACATGACTGATAATAAAGTTATTGGATATGTATGACGTAAAGCAACTGAGACCTTTTTCGCGTATCTTATTTATTATTTTATAATAATGTGATCAAAATTTTGTATATCACTAATTATAAAGTGACCAAAATTTGTGTATCACTATTATAAAGTGATCAATAACATACGTGAAAAATGTCCAGTGCTTACATAGAACATATACAATAAAGTTATATTATACTTTTAGAGCTTATATTAAGAAAGTCTGAATTGCATTTGAGTGTATATTAAACTTATTATAAATGGCTTGTTCAAACTACTTGAAGTCTATAATTATTTCATGGCATAGTTTTATGAAAAAATAGTGTATACAAAATTTGTAATTTCTAACATTTTACCGCCTGATCTTCAATTATAAGTTTATATAAGAAATATACTGTATACATATAATGTACTATAATATTTCATTCAATTTCTCATTTTTTTTATCTTGTTTTTTTTTCATTTTATATTTTATTATTTCATCATTTTTTTTTTTATTATTTGAAAGAAAATTTAGGTTGTTTTAGATTATATCATATTTTTATCATTAAATTTTTAATCAAATTAGTAATGAATAAATATACAGTATATATTAAAATAGATAAAAAGTATATCACTTGATTTATAACATTTTATTGTCAACTTTTAATTTAAATTTTATTTTTAAATAGTTAAAAAGCTATCAAAATTTTCTTATTTGTAAACAAAATTGCTTTTGATTTTTTCAATTTTCTCGTGTTCAACCGACTATCTAATTAATGAATGGANTTTTTTTTTTTTTTTTTTTTTTTTTTGAAAAAATCGATGAAATTAAATTTATTCAGAAATAAATAATCACAAAATGTATCTTTTAATGTATGATATTATGATATTTATTTACATAAGTAATATGCTACGTCAGACGTCAGCGATATGTAAGTGAGATACAATTATGTTTAATAAGTTTATAGAATGTGTGTAAAATGACTTTTAAAAAAAAAATTTACCCCAGTTTAACGTGACATGTCAGATAAAAGAAATTCCACCCAATTTCCATTTTTTTACTATTTTCGTAAAAAATATAAAGTCCTTTGTTTCATTGCTCTTTTTTATGAATAAAACATTCAGTTAAATATTATGAAACGACTTGGTGAATTAAACGTTTATTGGAGAAATTACCTGTCAGCTAAAAAATGTTTGTCAGTAAAATGATTGCCAGTGAAAGTAATTGTCAGCGAAGCGAACCAACCTCATTTCTTTCATTAATATCTCATATCTGTCCATACATAAAAATTTTGTCCGAATATTACTGTAGTAATCATTACTCGTGATCGGTAATATAGTTGCAACTCATCATCATTTCATCGACAATTATATAACCAACAATCATTTGGTTGACAGGTACGTTTTGCTGACACATTTTACCAACAATCATTTAACCGACAGGTACATTACACCGTTAATCAAATTACTGACAAATATATCTATTTCCTTTTTGTAAATGGGAATAATTTTTTTCTCCATGGGAAAATTTTAACAAGCAATCTAAAGTATATGACAGTTGCCAATTAAGAAATTCAAATTCACGTACACAATCCAATAAATTTTAATGATCAGATGTATAAATATCAATTAATCCCTTAAATTACGTCAATATTAACAAATTTTTTTCAGTATTTAATATTTTACACAATATGAATAATATTATTGTATATCATCAATACAAAATACTTACTTTTTAAATGAAGCCACAATTTAATTTATATAAAAGGAAATTGTATTATTTCGTACGCAGTCAATAATGATTAATTTCTTATCTCTTTTCTTTGTGTTCGGATGATACCCATTTGTTTATGGATAGCATAGTAAATAACTAATAACTTATTTGTAATTTGATTGTCGGTATGATGTACATGTACCTGTCGGTTAAATGATCGTCGGTGTAGGGATTGGAATCGGATTCTACTAAAATCGAATTAATCGAAAATCGAATCAGAATCGACTATCGAATAAAAAATCGAAACTATAATGCCGGCCAGAATTACTAAATTCCACCTCGCGTTATATCACATGACTTTACAAAAAAAGGAAATTTTTTCTCCAATAAAAATCGGAGAATTAGTGTAATATTACACGAGGAGACGATCGTTTAGTTATTAAAAGTCACGTGACACATATTAAGTTGCAAACAAATCTAGAGCACGTGACCTAAAGTGTCACGTCTAAATTTTGTGTAACATTTTGAAAAAAAAATTCGGAGACTTTTTAATACTTAAATATCTTTATAGTAAGAAAAGATATAGTAAGAAAAGACAATGGAAATAAAATAAATTTTTTTAAGTTTCAAATAATTTTATTATATTTTTATTTAATAATTTTTACTTTATATATTTATGAAGTAAAAAATTTTTTTTCTTTGTCGTAAAAAATTCCCTGTATAACTGATAAAATAATATATACCTAACTAATATATTATGATAAAACAATAAATATTAATATTTTACGTTCCTTTAAAATTTTTAAAGTTTGTTTTAGCAAGTATTAAAGTATTTTTTATATTTAATTATATATATTTTGACTTTTTTTGTATAAATAGCACAAACTTGTATATTTTATGATAAAAATAATAAAAAGAAATAATATGGGCTTCCAAGGTTTCCAAAAAATAAATTGTATAAAGAAATGGGTGAATGGACAAGTTAATATTTGACGTGAGAAAAAAATATTTATTTATATCGCATCATCACGGATCACGTGCCACGCTTTTTTGTTGGTTACTAAAATAAGTAGAATAGCTTTTGCGTTAAATTTGTGATCATTGGAATTGCCTTGCCACAAATTTAATGGTGCGCAATCGATTAGAAACGATTAATCGCAATCGAAAATCGATTCTAATTATGGGAATCGATTCCCCCAGTCCCCCTACATCAGTGAATCTAGTGTCGGTGAAATGTTTCTGTCGGTAAAATGTTTCTATCGGTAAATGCTTCTGTCGGTGAAATGTTTCGTTCGGGAAGTTTTTCTGTCGGTGAAGTGTTTCGGTAAAATGTTTTCTATCGGTAAAATGTTTCTGTCGGTGAAATAATTGTCGATCAAATTATTTTTGGTTAATTAAACCAAACCATAGGTTTGAATTACAAAGTAAAAATATAAATAGCATGATATTGCAGAAATAACTCTCGGCGAATTATATGATAATATAAAGACAACGTGAAGAAAAAAACTTTTCAATATAATTATTAATTCAAACCAAAATGCCAATAATAGCTATGAAAAAAATCTTCTTTAAAATATATTAAAAATATATTCAAAGTTTAAAAATATTTTAAAACATATTTAAAATATAATTAAAATACACTTAAAATTACAATTTTAAGCATATTTTAGACGTAAACTTTCTGATGTATTTAAATTATTTAAATTATATTTAAATTTGAGCATTCTTCGTTCTCGATCGGTTAACTTTATTTGTATTAATTTTTTTTTTTTATAAAGCTTGTCTACCAGTGTTATTACAAAAAACATTGAGAATTAAAACGAATTTGAAAAAAAAAAACTTAAAACTTGTAAGCTATTGTTTTGATAAGCATAAAATACGGAAATATTTGTGAAGTGTAAACTTCAATAAGATTCGGTAAGACCAATAAAACATATAGTATATAATATATCATATATATCATTTAACTTAATTAGCTTAAATAGAAATGCTTATAATAATAATTCATATAAATTTTTAAATTTGTGTAAACGAATATATTACCAATTAAAAAAGTCATATTAATGCTTTCTTTTTCGAACTTGTCAGCGTGGAACGATTCAACGTTTAAGTAAATAATCAATTGTTTGTTCCAACATTCTAATATATTCTCGATCATTAAGTGCATGTGAGGGATTAAAATTTAAAGAATTTACTAGGGAAGTGTCAGTTGAACCGACAGTAGGATGATTCACTCTATTACTATCAAGTTGAACTTCAACATGTTTTTTATTTTCTTTTTCTGTGCAAAAATCCATGTAATTGCTTTTTTGTTTATTTTCAGCATAATCATTCATATGTTTATCTAGAACAATTTGAATGTTATTCTGCTTATAAATTGATTTCGCATCCTTAACTAGCGATTCATAAAAATCTTTTACGTTTTTTGGTTCCATATTCCAAGAACTCTTAGCGATTTTGGAAACTTTACCCACAGGAGGTATTTTACACTTTTTAATACGATATTCTTTCATTAACGCCATTCTATATACGATAAAAGCGTTTGGAACCAATTTTGGTTTATTATTTGTGTTGGAGTTTTTGATTAATTCATCAATCGTCAAGGTCGGAGGGAAAGATGGCTTGATATCAATGAGATTATTGTTGTTGGGGTTGTCGATATTGTTTGCAAGGATTAATGAAGTAACGCGTTTGCGATTTTTTTGTTTTAAAGAAGTTTTAGGCATAATGTAATATAATAAAGAAAAATAGAGAATTTATCATATACATAAACATAAAAAAGAAATTGAAGTCTTGAAGTAATTGAAACGCGCTTTTATATTATAAGTTCTGAAGCCCAAAATTCAATTGAAAATTATAAATCCCGTCAGTCAGTAAAAGAAAGCTAACTTGTAACGTTACTCAAATTTATTGTTTCAGAAACGAATTTTCATTTAAATATATATTATCGGAAAATTTTTTAAAATAACCAAATAAATTATATTATTGGATGGTCAAAATTATTGTACAATTTGACATCACACATTGTGTTAATCTTTAAATTCATGATTCGCCGACTATGGGATGTGGCTATGTAATGAAACAATCTGACGTTACCTTCTATTAAAAATTTATATAAAGAGGAAGTGGCTGAAAATCACATACCAGATACTGTGTTTCCTAATGGGTCTAATTTTTCCCAAATTTTAATTAGTCTCGGCCCACATTACACTAGTCATTTTATGTCACTGATCGGCGAATCATGTATTAATACTTAACCAATAGGATCTTACCAACATTTATTTATAGTAATTAAATTAAGTAAAGAAAAGACATCATATTTTTTATTACCGCATGACATACAGGATACAGCCACATTTATTTTTAGAGGTAATGCAATAGGTAAAATTTATAATTATATATTATCAATCTTTTTTTATTAAGATTATCATTTCATTTTTTTCTAAATGGATATTTGCGATAGAGTTCGTATTTGTTATCCACGGATATTCGGATATTCGGATATCCGGATAGAACGGATACGAAATTTTGGATATCCGGATAAACCAGTGGCAGTAATTCGGGCCAATTTTTATAGTGCTGGCTGGAATAATGTTAAATTATGATTATTATATTTAGTTGTGATGAGAGTGCTTCTTATATAATAAAATATATGATGATAAGTTTATAAAAGAAAAGAACTCTTTAGTTTCCTTAAAAACGGCTGTCTGTGAAACAGACAAAATTACGTAATATTACGCAGTTGCCTGACACCATTTTTACTGGATTTTAAATTCAGTTAATATTACTAGCTCATCCGTACCATTCCCTTTTAATTAATTTATGAATCTTATTAGTTAATTAGCAAAAAAAAAAATTGTTTTTTGAAATAGTTACCCTGCAAAATATTAAATCGTAGATCTCAATATTAATGTGATTCGATTGGTTTATCACAATTATTCACGTGCTCTCGCAGAAACAATGAATGTGATGTACAGTACATAAAACAATGCGAATTAAAAATAAACACTTTCTAGAATTTTGAAAATCGCATTTATTTAATACCTTGCAGCATTCTGGAAATCTATTATTGGTCACATGCAAAGGAATAACCCGTGTCTTAATAAACTATTTGGTAAACTATTATTAGTTTACTATTTTCAGCGAAAGTGACGTTATTTTACACTATCAAATAACCGCTTGGTTAATTTATATTAGATAACTAGAATATGTGGCTTTTGGCTGACCCTAGACATAATATTTATTATTATAAATATATTTATTGTTCAAAAGAAAATTCTATTAAAAACTAATTAATTTAGAGTGTTTTCAAAGGTTTCAGTTACATAATATTTATTTTCTTCATCTCCTAAACAGTAAACACAATATATTGTATTTATAATTAAGAAACTATGATTAATATCATCGAATTTAATTACAGTGTTGGCATTGGACTCATTTCAATTAACTTAATTAGACTTATTTGACAATTGGGCAATTGGATATAAACCAATTGCGTCCAATTGCCTAATTAGTTCAATAAATGTTTATTAGATTTGGATTATAACTAAATCAACCATTGACATTTGGACTTGGTTCAATTCAACTAACTAATTAAATTTTGCATAACATATGAAACATATAATAAATTAATAAATTAATAATTTTTTTTTAAACGATCATTTTTAAGATTATGAATTTTTTTTATTAAAATGATGATATGATCTTAGTGGATACTTCTTAATGTTAGAAGAAGTCTAACAAGTACAAGTATAACAATTTCGTATTTTATCAAGATTATATTAGGGTTTTAAATCGGAAAGAAGTTATGAAAACATATGTATACAACCATAAATTAAATTTTATTGAATTGAGATTTCCTCCATGTTTATACAATATGCATTACTATAAAGAAATGCATGTTGCTGTAAGGAAAAGTCCGATCAAAATTTCATCAATCGGAATGCACGTTAATCGTATATCACGCGTTCACCGTTACATAATTCAATTTACTGAACGTCAGAAGAATTTTTTTAATTATATAGATTACAAGAGATTATTCTTTTTTTTATTAGAAAATTAAAAGTCTATTAGAAAATCATATCCGCCGATCTGCAGAATGCATGTGTGCGGTTTTATATCTGCAAATCGGCCGGATATGTAGAAAAAATTGTTTCGATCATCATGTGGTCATACAAAGTCTCTGAGATAAATAACAGCACATCCCGTTTTTAGTCACATTATCTTATTGAAGTATGTTTAAATGCAATCAATTTTGTAGATCGACATCAATTGGTCCTACAAAATCGCCAATGTGAATAAGCCGAATAAGCCACAAAAAAATTTATTGTTGAGGAAGTCTCCATTCCACCTATATTTTAGCTAGCTTCGAATTTTCTATTCATGAATTTTATAAATTTTATGTTTTTTTTGCACCAAAAAATATATGATATATTTACTCTTAAATTAACAAAATAACACTTTATTTATTCATTTTTTTATTTGGCCATATTCTGGTTCTATCCTCTTGTGGAATACCTCAGGTAATGTAATAAATTTTCAGTGTGTTTATTTTACTGTAAAGTGTTTTTTAAGATTTTGCAAACACAACATATTAAAGCCCGAAAATGGATTGCCGACCATTTTGTACCGCTGAGTGGCGTGTCAGGTTGTCGGGTTTGTCGGTAGCCAATCAGTACGCTTTGGAACCAAAAAGGGTATCACGTGATATAAATCATGTGTTCGTTATTTTTTAACAGGCAACTCTTGGCGTAAAAATTTGCCAAGTGTCTTGTACATTATGTAAATCAGCTGTAACTTGCCAATCACTCGGCGAAAATTTGCCAAGTGTCCCGTACATTATGGAATCAGCTATAACTTGCCAATTACTCTCGGCAAAAATTTGCCAAGTGTCCCGTACATTATGAAATCAGCTGTAATAGGCAAAAAAAAAAAAAATAAATAAATAATTTGGGCGGGTAAATATAAAAGTATGTAATTGTTTATTGATAATGAAAAATTAGATAGTAGATATATCTAAAATAATTATTATATAACAACGATTACATCAACATATTTCTAATTTCACTTTGTTTTTAATGGGTCTGGTTCATTTCACCAACAATTACTTCACCGACAAACGTTTCACCGACATCTTAGACGGGTTAGTAGATAGAATAAGGGGATGGCCAGAAATGACGTAATTTAAATTTTAGGATTTCCCCCCCCCCCCCATGTCATTATTCATTTTAGGAAATGTAAAATTAAAACACAATTCTGGCTAGAATTATATTAACTACAAGTGTCTAAAAATGGAAGGTGTGTAACATCATCATGGTCTTAACCCTTAGGAAATGACGTCATTTCTGGCCATCCCCTAACATATAGTTATATATATGTTATTATAAATTTCATTAAAATAATAAAAACTAACAAAAATATATATATAAAATAAACTTTTTAGTTATTGATCACAACAAAACATTAATACATTTATTAAAAAAAAATAAACTATTGTAAAAAGTAGTAGTTTTTTTGTATTTATAAAATCTATCAAAGAAATACGTGTTACTAACAAAAAAAAATCCCCATTTCATATAAAGATATATGTAAAAATATTTATAAAATATTTATATTTATTTTATATATATGTCGGTGAAACGTTTGTCGGTGAAATGACCCTGTCGGTAAAACGCTTGTCGGTGAAACGCTTGTCGGTGATATAACCCTGTCGGTGAAACGTTTGTCGGTGAAATAACCCTGTCGGTGAAACGCTTGTCGGTAAAACGTTTGTCGGTGAAGTAATTGTCGGTGAGTTAAACGCGACCCTTTTTACAGTAATAACGCTCATACAAAATTTTTTTATAAAAAACAAATAAATAAGTTATTTCTCTTTTTTTAAAAAAAAAAATAAAAAAAAATTAAAAAAATACAGATATCTATTTTTTCTTTAAATATGTAATAATAAGTACTATGCCGACAAAGATCACCCTAAATTGTGTAATTTACAGCAAAATTCGACACTTGAAAATTTTTATTGTCGGGATTGTCGGGTATTCGGGTTAGAAAAGATATCACGTGACATTTATATATATGATGGCGTAGTATAAAGTATAATTAAATTTTAATATAACATAATTACATTATATAGTATATACAATTATACTTTATTAAAGTATACCTGTGTTATTTTCTTTCTAATAACCTGACTAGCCGAGTAACCCGAGTACCCGACAATCCCGACAATAAAAATTTTCAAGTGTCGAATTTTGCTGTAAATGGATAGCAATAATTTTATCATAAAAGAAGATAATACAACAATGAACTCAAAGTGATTACTTTTTTCCCAGAAGATCCTTCAGTCCCAAAAATGGATTCCAGATTTTACGTTTGGAGATTTACAGTAAAATTTGCCCTCAATGAAGAAACCTCCTCATGATAATATTTTGGAGATAATCCATAAGCATTAATTATAATTCTCACAAAAACAGAAGAATTTATTCTTGTCTATATCAATATTATGAAAAAAATTAAAATCCAAAATTAAATTACTTAAAAAAAAATCGGTGATGGTTATTTGCATCGTGTAACATCATGTAACGTGTGACATGTCTGTGTCTGATCTATTTCGTATTGGTTTGCTATTGTGATTACATGTGCATGCTTATAGAATGTTTGTTGTTAATCCAATTCCGGCTAATGAAATTTTGATCGGATACTTTGTTTTGATAGTTTTTCTTATTAATCAGCCTCTCAGGATGATGGATCAGCTGCAGCAGATCAACATCACTGAAGCTACTTTTTATAAATATCTTTACCTGTTCTTATAGAGTATAGACTGAATTTTTTTTTTCTTTTTTTTTTTTAATTATTTTTTTTTAATTCAATGCCGAAAAAAATTTTTTTTATATTCTAACTAAAAATTATTTTTTTTTTATTTTCAATAACTGATAAGGCTTAATATTTAATGATTTTCGATTTTCGAAATATTGATATTCATATCCTTTTCAGATACAAATCTTCATATATTCTCAAATTAAGTGAATAATAATTAACCTTTTAAATACACGCTTGAACGTGTGATAAGAACCTATTCGCAATAATTGGCTTTGCGGCAAGAGGGTGAATGAGGGTTAGCGAGCAACGAGTTTTTCAACTAAATCTTATTTAGTTTATCCAGCTCCATCTTCCTTTATTTGATTTTCAAAGCTGCTTTTGCCCTTCATGTTGATTTATTTCAGCGTGTATTCGCCATAACACTTCATACATATTTTCGACCACGAAAACTGGTTTGTCATCTCTAAATTCTCCAAAAACAAGTTCTCTAAAGATGAAAACGTTTTATTGCCCAATATAGGATATTTTTATCACAAATATGGATATTTGGGATCTAATGATTTTTATTTTAAAGGTCCAAATTTATTAAAGCTTTATCTCATTTACATTCAGGTATTCTATTAAATTAGTTTATTTATTACAATAAAAGTTAAATATTTTATTAAGTACCGATATGTGTTAGATGATAACTAACGCACGTCAATTGTCAATCGTGTAAACCGATAAGTGAAGCGCGTCGGGTGTCAATCATGTCAATCAACACACGACCCGCATCAACAGTTATCAATTATCAGTTTATCACACTTGAAGCCTCCTTCCTATTTGAGTATGCATAATTTAGCATAGCGGCCAATCACAAAACAAAAATGGTGATCACCTGATACTGTACATATCGCGAACTGAATTAAACTGTGCATGATATCGATTTATGATAGTATAATATATAATAGTTATTGGGCAATATCAAAAGATGGCCATCGGTCCTAAAAAAGACGGACCGGTCCGTCTTTTTTTTTGCAAATAAAAATTTTTTTAGCTTTAAATTTAATATAAAAATCATTTAATATGTGAGTCTACTGCGCCACAAAAAAATGCGCCGAAAACATGACCGAATCCGAAAGTTCCGAAATCTGAAAAAAAAACTCTGGCTGAAACTTCCGAAACTATTTTATAATTCTGGCCAAATTTTTAGTGCTGGCCAGAACCATATATCACGTGACTTCGGATAGAAGTTTTGCCACCGGGAAGTAAAGACATTTTCATGAAATGTTGTGTTACATCAATGTTACACAATATTTACAATGCGGGCCAACGTGCATAATACTGGCCAGAAAATTTCGGCCCAACTTTCGACTTTCGACTTTGGAATGATTGGCCGAAGGCCGAATCCTGAAATTATTTCAAAATTTCCGAGTTTCGGCAACATGTATAATTTAACTACTATATCCAATAACTGTGTTATTATGCAGACTCCAAGATCATGTTCCATATAAAAAGTATAGTTATTTTACCTACAAAAATTAATATGTGTAATATTTAATCTAAATGACGTAATGCGTCAAAAATATCAAATATATTTTTTCGCAATAATAATTTATCTAAAAAATAAAATATCAGTATGTTAAAAACGACATGATCCTATTTGATTGCATAAAAAAACTTTTTAAAAATCCTTATATATCTCAAAGTTCACATTTGTATTAAGGTCTGAGAGTATGGATACACATAAATGTAAATGAAGTATCTGTATTGTATGTAACTATGCAAAGAGTCTATGTTAGTGTGTTCAGATACACAAAAATGAATTTTCAGAGCTTAACTATTGACATTAACTTAGAAGTACTTGGTATGTTACCTATTTAATACTGATAACAGAATTTTAAGAATTTTAATAAAAAAATAAGAACATTATGTTATAAATAATAAATAAATAAATTGACAATGATAACTATAATTTTACTATGGTGCTGCCAAATTCTGTCTTTCTCTATTCCCAGCAGATAACTTATGACTCTCTCCACCAATTTCAGCATTACATTCTGGACATACACTCTTTTCCCATGCTCTTCCACATTCTCCGATCGTATACTAAAAAAATTTGTTAATATATATTATACATATACATATTTTAAAAGAAAATGCTACTAAATTACTTACTGGATGACCGTTAGGGCAATCATACCAATGACCTAATTAAATAATAAAAATAAGAATTAAAAATTTACTTTAAAAAAAAAAAAACTTTTGGTATAATGATGATTAAACGCACCTGAACTTTTAAATTCAGTTTGCATGACCCGACGAATTTCTAATTCTTCTTCAAAAGTTATAGTTTTGCTTACATCTTCAGCGTAAGTCTTAATTTCATCAAATTTTTTCTGTAAATCACTTAACTTTTTGAGGATATAATCTTTAAATTCTTTCTTAATATCATTATCTGTACAGTATTTAATCATGTTTATAATGAATTTCTTTATATCTTCGCATTTTTCCATAGTACATGTTTGAAGTTTATTGTCAACAATTCCATTAGGTGGACATTTTAACTGAAGTTTAAGCATATTAGCATGTAATTCTATTAATTCTACATTAGCTGAAAGATAATGCCTGATATGATGAGTTGATTCTGCTATCTGCCTTATCGTACATAGATGGTCTTGGATAGAAAGTTGTAAATTATCAGCAAATATTTTCCAAAGTTTTTTACATTTTTTATTTGTCTCTGCAAATATAAATAATACTACATTTTCAATTATGAATAAAACTTCGTGATATAGAATTTTTTGTATATTGATAATTTCAAAAAATACGTCTAAATAAATTTTCTGATCTATTTGTGGTATTGAGATTCCCATTTGTGAAAATGTTTCTTGGAAAGTTAATTGTGTTTCGGAAATTGCAGAATCTAAAGAAGTGGAAGCTAAACTTGATGAACCACTTGATTTAGCTTGGTATCTAAAATAAAATTTCTTTGAATAAATAAAGTTAAAACAATCATCTCAGGAAATAACTCATTTTATACTTACAAACTCGAAACGGCGGCTTCGACTTTTTTATATGGCGCCATTTTTGTGTTATGAATAATTGAAGTTAATTTCTGATAGCAGCTTAATAAAATTTTAACATGATTAACCCAAATTTTGTTGATAGCTTTACTAAACCCATGATACCTTTCAATATTTTCAAAATAATCATAAGGTGTGACTTCAGATGATTTTTTATTCACAGTATTATGATTTTCAAATGTTGCTACTTCCTTTAACATTGAGCCATACAAATTATTTATTAATTGAATTCTTCCATTTCTCATTTCTTCTTCGTGTATAATAACTTGCTTAGTGATTTCATTATGTTCATCACTATATTTTTTTAGAAATTTTATGTTTTGTATATCCAAAGTGTATTTGTTGATTATTCTCCCATACCTCCTGATATTTTTAACTGGCGCTCTACATGCTGGACATTTTATTATATTCTTTGATGAGGTTGGAAGTGCTTTAATTGATGTCCATCCTCCGTTAGTTGAACCTTCATAATATTCTTCCATTTTCACAAGCATGTCCATTGTTTCCATGGTATAAACATGACCACAAGATAGAACAATCATTCTTTCTTCATTCCAGTCTATCTCACTAAACTTAGTACCCATTATTACATCTGGTACTATTTTTTTTAAAAAATAAATAGTAATTAAAGGTTAGAAAAAAATCCTAAAAATAAATTAATAAAAAATTTAACGTACCCTGATCCTTAACCTTCTCAGAAGCACAGTTGACACAAAAATTTTCTGAAGGACAAGTTTCACCGCAAATTCCAGCACATCCGTGTCCACATTTCAATTTCTTGTCACATCTTTCATTACAAGGTAGTCTATAACAAGGTGCGCCACAGCTTAACTCACATTTTCCTTGATGCTCACATTTCCATAAGCATTTCTCTGCACATACATCACAAGGTTCAGCGCAATTTTTATTGCATGTTGCATGTTCACATGATACAGTACATTTATTCTCACATGGTGGACAATCATTTTCTTCATGCATATGACAATATTGTTTACATATATGTCCACAAAATAATAATCTTTCACATATATGCTTACATTCTCCATGCTGGTTTCGTTCAAGTTCATTTCTATTTTCGACTTTGCTTTCATTTTTAGAATTTTCAGGCAATATAGAATTTTTTTGACATTCAGAACACTCATTTAAACACTCATGTCCGCATTTCAATAGTTTTTTGCATTTATCCCTACACTTAACATTCTCAACGGACTCAGAACACTAAAACATGAAAATAAACAATAGATATATTAGATTAAAAATATTATTAATAAAGTAACTACTGTACTCAACGAAAAATTACGTACTTGAATTTCTTTATAGTGTTCGCAGTTTAGTAATTTTTTTGTAACCAATTCAATACAATAGAGTCTTTCTTTATCTTGATTTTGCCAACATCTACCATTTTGTATCTCATGATCACAAGGTAATTTAACTTTGCTAATAGGATATTCACACCTTCCACAAGTTTCAAAGCATGGTTTTGGACATGTATGACCACAAACTGGTTGTGGTTTTCGACAAGGCTGAAAACATTTGATTTCAATATGTTTAGGATCGTCAGAATGACATTTATAAGTACATTCATGTCCACAATTAAGCATAACTTGACATTTTTTATGGCATCCTCCATCTGGACTAAATTGTTTAAATTGTTCAGGTTCAGTAATAATATTCTTGTAATCAGGATGTTGATCACATACAATTGGCATACCAAAACCAATTTGTGGAGGGTTTCGTGTTTTTAACATTTTAATTACAGGATTCCATATATCTTCAGATTTCGTTGCCATCAATTCAGAATTACCAATGAGATACATTCCTTCACGAGCACGTGATAATAAAACATTACTTCTATTTGAACTTTTGAGGAATCCGATAGAATCATAATCACCAGATTTAGAAACATTGCGAACTAACGAGACAATAACTATATTCGCTTCTTCACCTTGAAAATTATCAATTGTTCTTAAAGTTACTTGATGATTTAATGATTTTGTTGTAGCAGCATTTGTACTTTTAACAATATTATCTTTTCCTTTCTTATCATTATCATTTTCTTTTTGTTCCTCTTCCATTTCAATAATATCCTGTGCATCTCTTTCATCAATGATAACAACGAATGATTTAGCTAAAGCCTCTTTAATTTTCATCATTTGTCCTAGATAAGGAGTAAGTACAGTTATATCTTCTGGCTTAGTATATCCATTTCTAACAAAGTATTTTACCATCTCTACCACCATTTTTACTTCATATGTATTCACATAAGATTGTATTGCCAAATCACTATCAGACTTATCTTCTGGATGCCTATGATCGATAAAATACACGTTATGTTGAGCCCCACGTATATTAGAATATTTAGCAGTATTTTCACCATCAATTAAATTGGGATAAAGTGTGTATCTAATTAGGTCAGAGATCTCCCCCTTTCTCATACGTCTCTGAGTTAAAAGTTGAGTTTTCTCAACCTTACTGGTTCTATCACTGTTAACTAATCTTTCAAATAATGATTTATCTAATTGATAATTTCTTCCTGTCTTTGAGTCCATACCAAGAGAAAAAGTTGAAATACGAGGTCGGAGTTGGTTGTGATCCCCAATTAATATTAAATGTTGAGTTGACGGAGTTAGTGCACCAAGAACATGGGCTTCCAAAATTTGTCCAGCTTCCTCACAAATAATTATTTCAGGCTTAATTGATCTAATTAAGTCTTGATATCTTGCCACCTCATTTGTTGTCGCACCAATAACATCGCTTTCTAAGAGTATTTGACGACTTGCTGAATCATAAATATTATTCATTTCTTTACGTTTTTCCTCATATCTTTTTTGTAATTTTGATAATTTTTCTACAAACTCTTTATGGACCTTTGTACGCCAGTAATCGTGAAGTCTTTGTCTTTCTGATCTTGACATTTGCCAGATTGAATAATCATTTAATAACAATGATAAAGGACGATCTGATTTTGGTTCATTGTAATTTTCAATCCATTGCGTTGTCTCATAATCAATTTGTAATTCGTCATAGCTCTCTCCATATTCTAAAAATGAATTTTTACTTACAACTTTTTTACCTTTCTTATTATTATTTTGTACATTTAATAAAATTTCCTTTTGCTTCTTTATAGTGTTAATATCTTCACATTTTGCCCATTTCTCAAATATTGATGCATTTTTCTTCCTTCTATCTTGATGATTACTCCAAGATTCTTTCTCGCTATCATAAAAAATTTCATTGTAACATAATTCTTTCATGTTAGTTCTTAAAACCCAACTAGGTAAATCATCGCTAGTCACGCAAATAAATTTTTCATAAAAACTGTTTTCTTTAATCATCAAATATTCTTGTATATCATCCCATGTCATCCAACTTCTATAAAGCGTCATATCATTAACAGCATCTTCAATAGATTTTAATTCACGATTCAATACTGCCATTGAGTAAGGTATTTTCTTATTATGAGCACGATTTTCACTAAGAACTTCTAAATTAAAATCTTTAATCTTTTCAGATTGTGTTCCAGCACCTAATCTTACTATATTTTTTATATTTTCATCAAGTAAATGCTAAAAAAAAAAGGAGAATATGAATATTACCGAAAATAAATATTTAAATAAATGAATACATAATCAAAAGTTTATAATTACCTCCAAAAATTTATCAAGAGCGTGATTAGTAAAACAAATTATGAGAATAGGACCACTTATTGTTTTACGATTTTCTTTGGCTAATAACACCTTCATTATTTCAATACCAACCGCAGTTTTACCGGTACCAGGTGGTCCTGTTAATTACGAAATGCGGTTACATTTTTTTTAAAAAAAAATTTTTGGTCTTAAAAAAAATACTTACCTTCGATTAATGCAATTTCATGTGTTAAAGCAATTATCAATGCCTTGGCTACAATTTTCAAACAAAGTCAATAATTATTTTTGAAAGGTTATTCGATTACCTTTAAGAACAAAAATTACGTTATACCTTGAGTTTCATCTAATTTACTATAATTAGTAACACTTTTCACTACTTCATCATGAGTTGATTCATCGGCAACATTTAATTTTAAACTTTGTTCTTTGTTTTTACATAACACCGACAGGTCAAATTGAAATCCTGGTGCTCTAGTATAAAAAGGATTATTAACCTTAATTTCGCTCTTGTTATTAGGTGTCAAATATTTTTTGAAAGGGAGAGAAAAAGGATTTGTACTCTGAAGAGCTTTAAGAGTATGAATATAAGTTTCTAAATAAACTCCAGTTGATTCTAACATAAACCTTTTTTCTAAAGACTTTTCAGTTATTTTATCATAATTTAAAATTTCGTCCAAGGCAATAGGATAAATTGATGAATCAATAAAATTAATACCGATCGTAGCACGATCATAACCAGCTAAATCTTCTTCTTTTCTCGTTACAACGACACCAAAATAAAGTGAGTATAAATCAGAATTACTTATATTACCATTAACAAAGTTATTTGATTGTGCTTGTATGATATCTTGGTTTGGCAATAAAAGAGTAACTAGGCTACCAATTTGTAATTTTTTGCATTTTCTCCAATATTCTATTCTACCTTCTAAATTACTTGCACTACGAATATTTGGAGGAGTAAATCTTAAAGTACAAGAAACCCCTTTTCTTTTATCACAAGCAATATCAACAAATTGTATGCCAGTATATACTTGTAAATACCTAGTATTATCATATCTAAATCTACCTCCTTTTTCTTGTATGTTTTTTAATTCTCTATTTTTATTAGAAGATGACCAATCATTCATTAATGCATTTATAAAGTTTGATATTCCACTACGGATCACATTTAACATATCTTCTCTTAAAAGTCGAAATTGTGTATCAAATAATCTTTCTATTTCATCAGGTAAAAAGTGAGGTGCGTTAGGGAGCGAAGAAGGTAAAAAAGGTTGACGATCACACATCACTTCTTCTTTTGTAGGAATAATTGATATTTCTGAAATTCTTTTAAAGTCATTATCGTGTCTTCTACCATTTTTTGATAGTTTACCAGGTGGATCATAAACCACATTAGCTATATATAACATTTTATTCATGATATTCATTTCTTCTTCTAATAGCTCAAAAAAAAATTTTCTAGTTTCCAAATTATTAATTAATGGGTCTGTCGAGGTAGGTGATGGTTGTTGCTCAATTGATTGCTGATAGTCAATTTTTAACCGTTGTAAATCGCGAACAATGTTACACATTGTCTCATTGATAGTTTCTTCTTTGACGCGATGTAATAATTCTGTAAGAAGTCGCACAATTATTAGGAAAAATATTCCTAAACTAATTAATTAAAGGAATATTAGTTAAATGTACGCCACCAGGTTTTGTACATAATATGTGTTTGGTTACTTACGAAGTCGGAATAAATGAATATGGTTCTTCATCTACAAGCGAATTACGTTGCACCAACGTCTCCAACATTTTCATCACACCATTATAAAGAAAAGGGTCCTATTTATTTATTTAATTAATTAATTTTTCATGATATTAAAAAATCAACTGTTAACTTAAATTTATAGTATTAGTGTTATACTTACAAGGTTCGTATAAACAACCATAAAGATGTCATGAACGTAATTTTTCAAAGTACATTCAGTAATAGTAGTTCTAGTTAATACTCCCAATAAAGGTAGCACGACATATTGGAAGGATAATACCTGTTTATCAAGTCCTGCATCACACGACATAGAGCAAAAATTTATGATTTCCTCTAATTTCTTAAGACCATCAGGATTACCTAATTCTGTTACTAATTCATCTGCTCCAGAATCCGCTGCTGATAAAGCTGAACCAACAAAAATTCTAACGTCATTTTGATCCAAAGGACTCTTTTTACACAACACTGACTTCCAAGCGCTATTTTTAATCTCTTTTCCGTTAGTAATAAAAATTATTTTGTCACTACCTTTACATGTTAGTTCGGAAGAGCTAAAAATTTTGGAAATATTAACTGGTGGTGTACAATTCCTTTGTCTAGGCGATTGTGGAGAATAATTTCTTTGTGTAGGTTGCAAATAATTACTTTGTCTAGGTGGCGAGTAATCCCTTTGTCTTGGTGGCGAGTGATTCCTTTTTCTAAATGACGAGAAATCCGTTTGTCTTGGTGGCGAGCAATTCCTTTTTCTAAATGACGAGAAATCCGTTTGTCTTGGTGGCGAGCAATTCCTTTTTCTAAATGACGAGAAATCCGTTTGTCTTGGTGGCGAGCAAGTCCTTTGTCTTGGCGGAGAGTTATTCCAATTCCTTTGTCTTGGTGGAGAATGATTCGTTCGTCTTTCTCTAAGATGTGGTGGCATATATTTTTCTTCCCCACGGTCAGATTTATGATTCGTATCATGATAATTGTCAATAACATCGCTAACATTGAAATTATTGACACTGTCACTTGTTCCAGCATAACTACTATCATTATTATTGGTACCAGACCTTTTAAACATAATGGTAAATTTCGAACAAAAGTATTTAATAAATGATATTTGTTCTTTAGTTTATAGAATCCTTGTAGCTTTTACTGTAAATCTGTTCGCTTTGTGATTTTAAAAATAAAAATAAAAATAAGTGATATTTGTTATTGTAAGTAATAATATAATATTGTTACTGTGACTTAAAAAGATATTTAAATTTTTTAAAAATAACAATAAAATATTTTTTTTTTCTTACTATCAAGGATTTCCTTGGGGGAAATGACGACCCTTTAAATAATTTTTTTTTTTTTTCAAAATTTGTTTCTTAAATTTGTCTTTATTGTGTACCAATAACTATTAACAATTAAAATTAAAATGTTTCATTTTTTTTTATAAATGACTACTAATTGTTCCCAAATATAGTTAGGCATGATAGTATAATTAGTATTGATAAGTAGATCATTTTGTTTACCGGTTAAAGTAAGGACATGAAGGACATGAAAAAAAAAGTAGTCTATTTTTGGTAGTGAACGGCACTGCGCCATGAAAAACAAACGTTGAGACAAAAAAGTGTTTGAGAAGCTTGTTTCAAGGACTAAAGAAATCCAAAACCCTTTTCAAAAAATTTAAAATGTCAATTATTTAATTTTATATAAAACTCACCATTCTTGGGTGTATCAGTGTTAAGCCCGTTACCCCCCTTTGTGTGTCGTTAGTTTTTGTATCAGAAATATAAAAAAAATTCTTTATAAAAAATTTGTTACATGATCGGCAAAATATAAAGTAAAAGCCGAATAATTCCCAGGTAATAAATTCTATTTATAAAAATAAACCGGGTTAATGTTTTGCATCTCTCAAATAATAAAATTGTAAAAGAAAAGAAAGAAAAAAAAAAATTTGTAAAAACTACAAATTATTACCGGGTCCGGATTTCCGGGTTTCCGGGTTCCGGTCCCGTTTGCAGGCCTCTAACGGTCTAGCCCTTATGACACTATAATATAAGATATTGTTAGTTTGTATATACAGTATATGAAAAAAAAATAAAATAAAAACAATATATCTCAATTAAACGATTTAAAATTTGCATAAAAACTACTCAGTAAACTTTATAAACTAGTTCTTTAATAATTTATTATACACGTATCATTCCGAAATTAAACAAACCTGGCCCGCATTATGGTATTTTGACCAGAATTATGACTACTTTGGCCGGAATTAAGTTCAAAAATGGTTGTTTAATTTCGGAATGGTACAGTAATTAGCAAAAGTAAGAAGTCCTTTTAGAAATTATTTTCTCAAGAAGGATTTATATTAATAAATTCTATTTATTATGCAAATATCATAAAATAAAAATAATTTAGAGAATTTTTGGTTCAGTTAGAAATTATTCATTATTATAATGAGATAATTAAAATGTTATTAATACGTCAATATGTGTCATGAGAACCAAATTTACTAAGATGACTTATTAGGTTTGGTTTTATAGTCACAGTTAGTTAATGTTATCAATGGTATGTCATAATAGTCAGTTGAAAATACTATAAATAAATATATATTAATAAAGAAAAATTCCCCAGGAAAAATTCCTCAACAAATAATCAAAATTGTTCAACATAAGAAAAAAATTCCTCAACATATAAAATTGCCTAATAAGAAAACTCTTCAAAAAATAATTAAAATTTTCTAATAAGGAAAATTCCATAACATTAACTATACATTAACCTAAAATGATACTCTGTGGGGAAACTGTTATTCATATCTATCGGATCATGTGTTTGTTGCTTGTGGCGTTAAATTACGCGATTATTTTATTCAGTATATGTTATAACATATCAATTCTTGGTGAAAATGCTGAAAATTGGAAACACTGTACAGGAGGAAATTTTCTTCACAATATTACTGTCTTTGCTCTTATCACTGATATCATTGGTTTCATTTCAGCAAATAGTTTAAACGTTATAATGTCTATATTATATTGTGCTATGGGTTATAGCGCAATACAAGAAAAAAGTGGGAATTGTCAAATAACGGATCCTAAAAAATACGAATCAGTTCTGCTCAGCCAAATATTAATGATTACATTGCTTTGGATGTCGATTCCTTCATTGATTATGTTTATTGCTTGTGAAATACCAAGTGAAACATGCTGTGAAGGTCGTATAGATAATGAAGTTTAAATGAATCAAAAGTTAATAAGAGTTAAATTATTCTATTTTGATTAAAAGAAAAGAGTTACAATCATAATAAAAATTGCAAGGGGTGGATCGTAATATGTTAAATGAGTGAAAATATTAAAGTAGATTAAATAAGAAATAAATCTTTATGTATTATCTGTATGGCGTTATATTTCAGCTTGAAAAGTGTTAATAAATTATTCTTGCTTTATCGGTTAATAAATTTATTTTCAAATTTAATTAATCAATTCGTTTTATTAATCAATTCGTTTACATGAAATATTTATCAATAAGTACTGACTACATAAATAAATTGTAGTATAATAAATAAAATTTGATAAAGTATAATTGGTTTTTTTCGAGTGGACCCTGAAATAGATTTGGTTTTAATTACTGAACCAAATCCATAACCATCTATTCCCAAAGTACCATTCGTTTTAATATAATAAAAATCTTTATCCAAAAATAAATCTTTAGCATTTTTTCTTTGAAGATAATATAATATTGCATTATTATCAATATTCGCCTTTTTAACAACTGTTCCACTTTTACTCAATCTATCTGCTTTACCAGTAATTCGAATTCTTGCTGTAAAAGGTGTCAAAATATTAACCTTATCTACAATTGTAGTTACTATTACTGAAGTGTGAAATGGGACGATAACTTTTTGTTGAATATGATATGAAACTGTATCTAATACAGTTTCACTGTTTGTTTCCCCTTCCGTTGAACTAAATTTTCCTTCAATACCTATATTATTTCCTACTTTCACATTTATTAAGTTGAAAATATTTATACCAATTTCAAAAGTCATATCTACATGTTTGCCAACTTCAAATGAATCAGCTTTTCTGATTTGCAAAGTAAAGACATTTGATTTTTCTTCTGTTCTATCAATTATTTGTTCTATAATAGCATTTGTTGGATTCTCAATTCTATTATTACCTCTTAAAAGGGTAGCGTTACTAGTCAACATTTGACCATAGTTAACATCTAAATTAAAATCTACTACTTTTGTAATTAATTTATAATTGGTGGGTTTAAATAACCACTGTTGATAAGAATTATTTTTATTAGAAATGCTAATATAAACTAATTTTCCATTACTATCTATACTACCATCTAAACTTCGAGATTCATTTCTTACATTAGCAATATTATATGTATTATTTTTGATTTTCATAAATATCCAATGTTGATAAGGATTAGTATTAGAATCATGATCAAGACTACTAACATATACTCCTTTACCGTTATTATCTAAATTTGTACCTGATCCTATATTTATGATATTATAAACATGATTATTTTTACCTTCAACCTTTCGTAATGACCAATGTTGATATGAATTATTATCATCAGATACACCAACTTGAACATGATCACCAACACTAACTAAATTCTTTTCTGATACAAAATGTACAATGTTATATGTAATTCCTTCTAATAAGCCAAAGTCTTTAGGATCATCGGTATTAACCCAATCATTTGGAATTAAAGAACAATAAGTTGAAATTATAAAAAGAAGGAGAAAACCTAAACAATTAAGAAATTCACTATTTCTTACTTTCATTATTTTAAATTTTTTTTTAAAAAAAACAGTGAATTAAGAATAGAGAAAAAAAAAATCATAATCCATATTATTATTATATTGCGCCATGGAAAAAGTTTTGACGAAACGAAATTTGACCCAAATCTCTGATTAAAATACGTTATTAATTTTCTTTATTCAACGTTTCAAAACAATAATTTTTCTTTTTTGGAAATATGCACAGCCATTTTACGAATAGTACCCATCAAAATATGTCACGAAAGTGGCAATGCTGTGTCATGTGGCTTGTCATAAAAAATAATTTAATCTCACTCCCTATAAAAAATTTTTATCCAAATATTTACATTAATTTACATTATTTCTCCGTGTCTTTCGTAAAAAATTCCGTGAAAATGATACATTTACGGATAAAGATGAAAATTTCCATGATTTAAGCCATGAAAATGATACAATACACGGATCAAATTTTTTCAGGGACTGTGCATGACTTGCACGATTTTACTCTTTCAAGTATTCTGGGGCTAAGTTTTTTCATGCTTTTAGCTTGTGTACTTGTGTAAAAATTAAAAGGATGTTGGAACTAGTACTTCGATCCGTATTCAAATTGATCCGGATCGATCCGGATATTTTTTATCCGGATTTTGCGGTTTTCATCCGGATTATAACCCGGATGAAAAATATCCGGTTTAAACTGGAAACCTTATTTTTTTTTACATAGCGCCGTAACTTTATATAATTAAGATTTATATATATATTTTTCATTAAAGTGCGACCATAGACAAACATATTAAATGCTGAAAAGTAAAAACGCTGAACACTTGCATCATATGTTGATCAACTGAAGTTTAAAATGTAATAATTTACTAAACAAAGAATCATTTTTTCACATTCAAACGTTCAAAAAAATAAAATCTTATTATTATACTTTTACAACGAAATAATATTTATTATTTTTAAATGAAAAATTATTTAGATCAAATTACAAAAAAATTGAGATATTTATAAAATTTATATAATTATAACAACTTTTTTTAAAATTAAAACTAGTGTTATGTAATTTGATTCAAATGATTCTTTAATTTTTGAAAGAAGAAATAAATCTCTTTTTAACATTTTAAAAATTGTCTTACTAACTCATAGTAATCTTTAGCTGTATATAATAAAAATATCTTGTTTATTCAGAACTTCATAATTAGTTAATTCAAAAAGAAATGTTAAACAATAGTCTGAGACAATGCTGAAATAATATGAAATCGTTTTTAAAAAAAAGTATTGAATAAAATTAAAATTATGAAAATTTCGCAATCTTAGTCACGTGACACCAAAAAAAATAGCACCGGGTAAAAAATTGCTAAGCATAGTGGCCCGAAAATTTAATGTTACACAAATTTGTAATTCTGGCCGGCGTTATAAATTCTGGCCAGAATTATTGCCGATCGGATTATTTGACTCGGAAATAAAATCCGGATTTTTTTGTGTAACCCGGATGACGGTTTTCATCCGGATCGAAGCACTAGTTGAAACACAAATGATTGATTTTGCCGACACTAGCCAAATACGAAAAAAAAAGTACTTTACGTAGCTATTGTTTAGGTTAAACGTAAAAAAATTCACTAAATCTATCACAAATTTAACTTATGCATAAAAATACCCGTTTTCTACAAGTTTTTATATTTCAAGTTATTTTATTGAAAGTACCGTAATACGAAAAAACATACTATTTTATTTCAATACGCTTGTTTTGAAAATTATCATGAGTAACTGCATATACTTCAGTAATTGTAATATTTTACTATATGAAATGTGGTACAAAAATCAATTGGATATTCTGGCTATACGAATTACGAATGTCAATTATTGTACACGTGGAAGTTGTTGATCGATCGCAAAAAAAAAAAATCTTGACCACAGTCAGAAAATATAGAAATGAGGTGGATTAATATGGTGAAATATAGGGTACTTTTTAAATATTTACTATTTAGACTTTAGAGCAATCAGTGATTGTTTTTTGAACAGACGAATATAAATGGAAATATGTATGAAGGTGAGAATGTTTTAAGATAATTTTAAAGAATGATATTCTGTAATGGAAAATTAATTTACCCTTTCTAAATTAATTTTCTATTCCTAATTGGATAAAGAACTTTATAATAGTCGGTGTGATTTTTTTTTATTAGATGTTTTCGATTAAAGGAAGTATATCGGGACGTTTAGTCCTCGTGATAGAAACAAATTAATTATCGTGATGGTTAATGATATACAGTAAGTATATATCAGATAGCTTTCGTGAAATGACTATTACTTATTTCACAATATTTTACGAAATAATTAGATAAAACAAGAAAATTCCCACAGTCAGATATTAAATATTGGCAAATACTAATACTAGAATGTAAAAGGCTATAAAATTATTATTGTAAGGAATAAGTACAGTACGATGCATTGGATATTTTACAAATATGATTTATAAAATTTTATTTAAATTTATTATTTTTTAAATTTTAATTTTCATTAGCAAAGTTTCTTTTTTATGTTAAATAATGACAATTTAGACAAATTAAAAGGAAAAAAAAAAAAAAATTTTAATTAAAAAATTTCTTTCACTGTTTCTCAAGAATATTATTTTTTAATGTGAGAGAAACCTAAAGTTCAAGTTAAAATGTTTCGTCTTTTATGTATAAATACCCTAAAGGTCAATAATGAGCGAAATTTGTCGAAACTTTCGATACTCGGGAAATTCATTTATTGGATCATATGATTTAACGAAAACTATAATGTCACGCGACTTCAATCATCGATCACGGTATTACATTTTTGTTTCATTTATCACTTTAAAAGATAATATAAATTATAATTTTATTTCCAAATTTAAATTATTTATTCTGAATACTATAGAAACAATGACTTACTATAAAAAGTTACATTGAAAAAAATAATGAACATTTTAGAAATACTCAAGATCTCTCACGTAAAAAATATTTAATCATAAATAAATTGTAACATAATTATTTGCAATAATGTGAGAATTATTTGATGAAACATAACCAGATTTTTCGGAGAAGACTCTGATGCCGCCTTCGGGGTGGACTCTGGCTTCTTTGGAGTGGACTCTGGCTTCTTTGGAGATAACGTGCCCTGGGATTCCAAAGTTTTTAATTGAGTATATGAATTATATCCATAGCCATTTATTGTTAGAGTGCCATTTGTCATGATATAAAAAAAATTTTCATCCATGACTTTAATTCCAGGATTCTCTCTTTGAACATAATATCTAATTGCATTAGCACCAACATTGGTCATTTCAATAACTTTTCCGCTCGTACTCAGTCTATCTGCTTCGCTTCACAATTGATTCGAATTTTTGCATTAAAAGGTACTACACAATTAATTTTACTTGTATTAGCAATAATTTGTATTGAATTGAAGGGTGGTACGCTAACTTTTTGTTGAATAAGGTAATGTACTTCATCTGTCACAGTTTCTTTATATATATCTCCGGTTGTTTTTTTAAATTCACCTTCAATCCCTCCACTAATACCTGCTTTTACAGGTAGTTCAAAAATAATAGCACCAATTTCAAAAGACATATCAATATATCTACCAATTTTAAAAGACTCGGATTTTCTGATTTCCAAAGTATAAGTATTTAATTTTGTTTCTTCTTTTTTAAACCATCGTTTTATAGTCGCATTTGTTTGATTCTCAATTGTATCGTTACTACTTAAAATGTTAACTAATTTACGTTCCAGTTTATTTTCTTTAAAATTTAAATCAAAATCTATTACTTTTGTACTTAATTTATAATTAATGGGTTCAAATAACCATTGTTGATAACGATTATTCTTATTAGAAATTTTGATATAAACTAGTTCACTATTACTGTCTATACTATCCAAACTCAAAGATTCCATTCTCGCATTAGCAATATTATCAGTTATATGTACAACTTTGGATTTTTCTAAATGTCCAGTGTTGATACGGATTATTACTAGAATCATGTTTAGGACTACTGACATACGCTCCTTTACCATTATTGTCTAAATTTCTACCTAATCCTATATTTATAATATTGTAAATATTACCTTCAACCCTTCGTAATGACCATTGTTGATTAGGGTCAGATCTATTAGGTGCACCGACTTGAACTCTTTCACCAACATTAACCAAGTTCTTTTCTGACATAGAATGCACAATATTATACGTAATTCCTTCTATTAGGTCAAAGTCATCAGGATCATCGGTATTAACCCAATCATTTGGAATTAAATAACAATAAGTTGAAATAATAAAGAAAAGGAGAAACCCTAAATAATGAAGAGATTTATTCGTATATCTTACTTTCATTATTTAAATTAGAAAGAAGATTAATGAAGAAAATATTAAATGTACATGTTCATTCTGTATTTATTGACGTAAAGTTACGCCACAGAAAAAAAAAACTTCGTAGTTCGTACGGTAAGCCAACTCACCATAACAAAAATTTTATGACGTAATATATCAAAAATCATGTTTTTATTAAAGTTATTTAACCGTTTCAAAACAATATACTTTTTTGGAAGTAAAAGGTTGGGGCTTAGTTATCCGCTTATCTAAGTTTTTCGATCTGAATCTAGAAACCGGATATTTCAGGATGATCATTTATATTTTTTTTCTTTTTTTATCCGGTTATTATGAAATATCCGTTTGTTCTATACATTATTCGGATATAAAAAAAAAAAAATTTTTTTAATCATTTAAACTAATTATTAACTACTAGGATTATTGGTTTATTTATTCACAATAATTTTACACGCAATTTCATAGTTGTAAAACTGTAGAGTTAGCGTTCTCGATTTGTCGATCATCTGGACCCGTGAAAGACTCTGTGATTAGCAATCAGGAATGTGGCGCGGCTAAAATAATATAAAAAAAGTGTAATGATTAGCACAAAGCCACGATTTATTAGAAACATTTTGTTTTTTGAATATTACATACGTATATCCAATGTTACACATAATTTAAGATCTAACCGTGATCATGGATATGTAGATTGATATTCGAACCAGATTTTTCCGGATAGTTGATTATATTGGTTATATTTCTTTATTTCATTCACTAATTTACTTAATACCGTATAACACTGCCTATAGATTTACAAGAAATATAATTGAATAATACTCGTTGTGGCAAATGGGCAAAATAAACCAAGTACTATACATGATCTTATGATGCAAGAGACCTAATTTAAAGGGATACTATAATCGGTGGTACACGGTATTTCTCTACGTACGATTTGTTTATTGGATGTAATTAAAATATTTCAATACTTTTTAATGATGATATAAAAAAAAAATTTTTTTTAATACTTTAATAATGAAAATATCAAAATTTTATTAAATAATGTTTTTAAGTGGATTTAAATTTAATAAATGAAAGTAACAAGTAAATACGGTATTTAAAATTAACGCAATTAATCAATTTTTAAATTAGTTTTGAATAAAAATTTTGATAAGGTTAAATCATATAAATTTGTTTAAAAATACTAAAACCTTTTGTAAACTAAATTTTACTTTTTTTTTTGAAATTAGAAAATATAATATTTAAATGTTTATTCAATTCTTTAATAATAATAATTACGATTTATAATATCCGACGCTAATAACTTTAATTTAATTTAATGAAATTCTATTTCTAATATTTCTAATAAAAAAATTTTTTATTTCTTTTCCCTTTTTTTCATTTTTCTGCTTTTAAAGAGTCTTCTTTCTCAAAAAAAAATCTACTTTTTATTTTCCTTTTTCTAACTTTTTTTTTTTTTAAAAAAAAAACCATCCCAAGAAAACAAGAAAAAGGTCAAATTTATATCCAGCCCCTGTGATGCTTAGATCTCACTTTACCCAAAAAAGGAAATTATTTTATGCCGATCAGTTAATTCTGGCTAGAATTAAATAAATCACGTGATTTAACGAAAAAAAAAAAAATCGAAAAAAAGTTTTGTCAAATAAGTCAAAAATGACATTCAAAACCATCTTTGATGCTTTAAGTAAACTTGCGGAGCAGGCAAAAATACACATACTATATAACTTTTAAAAAAGGTTTGTATATTAAGAATTTCTTTTTTACAAATTTTTGTTGGATTTAAGCATCATACGGGGGGCGAGATACACATTTATCCAATTTTTAATGTCATGTAAAATTATTTGACATGATCGGTATTGCTAAATATCTATTGGATGTTATAGGATTCTTTTAAAGGTAGGTAGTATGGATTGGTGTAGGATTGTGGGTTTGATGCTGATGAATGATATTTCTTTTTTTTTAATTTTTTTGTTTTTGAAGCAATTTCGTACTTCAAGTAATGTCTTCAATAAAAGTGAAAAAATAAATAATTATGAAGCTGCTCTATCATTTCTAATATTTCCAAAGGTAGGTGGTTTCTGATTAGGGAATAATTTAAAACAAGCAAATATTGTGGTTTATTTTGTCTAATCTATACTTTACTTTCTCATACTTAATTTTCTCAATATATAAATGAAATTAATTGTGCAATATAATATGTTCTAAGAATTTTGTGATATTTGTGCGATTGTATTTTTAATATCATTTATTTTAATATATTTTCATATATAAATTTCTTTTATTTAATAATGTTTATTGTAAAGAAATGTGATTACAAATAAATTAAAATAAATAAATAAACATAAAAATAAAAAATAAAACAAGTTTATATAATAATAACTAAAAATTAACTAAAAAAATAGGAATTGAGCAAAAATTAAACATTTTATTCAAAATAATGCAATATTTTCAACGAGATTTTTATCTGATAATTGACATTATACGTAAAAATGATGTAATGATGTAACACGAGAAAATTTTAAAGGACATTTCGATTAACGAATGTAAAAAGAAAAAAAAATATTATAATACTTTTTACAACAAATGTTATAATGCACGATAATTTTTGATAATTTTTTTAATTTGCTGTATCTTTTTAATGTATGCATACAAAAAGAAAGTATTTTAAAACAAAATTATTCCTTTAATGTACATTATATACAATATATTAAATATGTTCACACGTAACATTTCCAATTTATTGTCTGACAAAAAGAAACGAATTTTTATATTTGTAATAAAACTTTACGCAGCTCGTCAAAAAGGTTTGGACAACGGTCCAGTTGTAAATAAAAAGTACTACTCTAATATTGGCATATAAAAATTTTTCGAATATTAATTTGATTTCACAATGAGAACACAGTTCTTAACAAAATACGCGTCGCAAGTTTCAACGAAAAAATATTTCATTTTAGAAAAAAACTATGTAAAAGATTTTTTATTTTGATAATAAATTTCGCGCTGACTTTGATGGCTTTTCGTATTATAATGTGCATGATTTTAATCTTTATTAAACAGCTTAACTTTCGCTTTGCTTATTTTAAAATCTATGAATAAATCTGTTGAATAAGAATTACAAATACGATTTTTTGTAACGTTCTGATAAAAATATTGTACCATAAAATTTTATTTTAAATATTCAAAGTTAATAAATACATTACTTTTTTAAAAATATTAGTTTGGTAAATCTTTAAATTTAACTAGAAATAACACAATTTGCTGATTATACTTACAATAGTGTATATTATGCCTACAGCAGAAAAGCTTTAAAAATAAATTCCTATTAGAAAATATTACTTTGCTTATTATGGTAGTATTTTGCTTGAGTTTTAAACCTTTTAGTTAATCAAGCCAGTTAGCTTAATTTGATAACAAGATCATGGCAATAAAAGCTCAAATTCAGCTTACATGAACATCATTTTGATATTGTGAAATATTGTGTTAACATTTTATGAATATAAGGGGTGGAAAATTTTATTTTGCAGAATATAATCAACAAATTCACACATCTGATAAAAAAAGAATGTCTGGAAATTGCCATAAAAAATGTCCAGAAAAATATCCGGGAGTCTGGAAAATGTCTTGAAAATTGCAATATTTTGGATACTGAGATTCCAGAAAATATCCAGGGGATTTCTAGGATGACTCAGGCCTGGTATCCAGAAAGTGTCCGGAATATTACAATTTTCTGGACATTTTTCACTTTCCAGACATTTTCAATGCCAATTTCTGGACATTCTTTCTTTATGGGGGCATTGAAGAATTATTTCATTAAAGTGTTAATGTTACCAGCATTTGTCTATTACATCATAAAAAAATAAGAGATTTAATGTCCAATTACAAACTGATTTATTCATGTAGAAAAAATTACATATTCATACACAGTGTTGGACAAAACTACATATAATTGTAAATTCCTATAAAATAGCAGTTATGTATACAGTATATATTAAATGTCAAACAAAATTTTATTCTCCTATACTTCGTTGTGTATCATTTGAAACTAATTGGAAGAGCACAATGATCCAAAGATTGAGAATTATAATCATCATCATTTTTTGGAAGATCTTTTGTAATAGGATTAAGTAATCGAGATGTATAAATAGCTTGTGGATGGGTAGCTGTTTGGTAATTTTCAATGGAAGTAAGATTTGCTTTTCTATATTCTTCTGCTTCCTCAAATTGTATTACAATTTCTTCATTTCCTACAATAACAAAATTCTCCACATACAACTCATAAAATGATGTGATTAATTTATCTATCTCAAAAATATCTGGTCTATTATTTTTATCTAAATCCCAACACTTTTTCATTAAATCAATATAATATCTTGGTGTTTCTGGCTCACTTATTTCAGGTCTAATTCCTTTGCAAATATCTAATGCAAGAAGATGATCATGTGCATGATTGCCAAAAGGTTGTTTTCCAGTTGCTACAAAATACATTATCATACCAAAACTATAGATATCTGCTGCTTGAGTATAAGGCTTTCCTCTTAATACTTCGGGAGCCATATAAGGCATAACTTTATAAATTTTTGTTTCATCTAAACTATCAACTTCTCCACATAATCCCATATCTGAAATTAATACACAGTTACTAAAATAACTTATGAAATTTAAAAATAATATATTTCCTGTATGAAAATCATGATGAACTAAATTTCTTTGATGTATTTCTTTAAGACCATTAACAATATTAAGTAATACAGATATTTTATCCTTCCAATTAAAATATTCATAGTTTTTATTTATCCAATGATTAAAATTGCCTTCTTCTGCATATTGGAGAACCATAATATATTCTTTTGTATCTGGATTTTGAGATATTCCATATATATTAAGAATATTACTGCTTTTACTTATTGAGTACTTTTTAACCTATTAAAATACATTGATATATATCAAAAATCATTATTACATCATGCTTAAATGAAAAATTACTATATTAAAGTGATTCTTAAAAAAGTTTCATACCTCATTTAGAAATTTATCAGTAATATTTTGGGAATTACACAAACATTTCAAAGCAATTACTCTATTTGGATTCCTAATGTAAATGTCTTCATTCACATCATATTCTAATGGACCATTCTTCCACTCTGCTGAATATACTGTAGAAAAACCACCCTTACCTATTTCCTTAATATCATTGAACTGACTGTATGGTATCCATTCAAATACTATATCATCATAGCCATGGCCATTTATTTTTAATTGCATTTCTTGAATGAAATAATCAATTTTTTCATTTCCACTTGTCCAGTTAAGAATTAAAAAATAATCTCCTGTATTTAGATTTTGAGATATACCATATAATACTTGAAGTAATTCTCTATGTACTGTTGGATATTTTCTAGCCTAATTATAAATAAAAGAAATTGTAAATATACCAATTAAAAAAAAAGTATTTAAATATTTAAAAAATTTCATACCTCATTTATTAAAGAATCAATGGATTCTTGTAAATTATGTAAATATTTTAAAGCAACTTTTTTATTTGAATCTCTTGTATAATTACTCCTAATATACTCTTTATGTAATGGACCATCCTTCCATATTGCTGAATATACTGTTATAAGGCCATTTTTGCCTGTCTCTTTAATTTCATTAAACTGGTTGTATGGTATCCATTCAAGCACTATATCACTATAGCTACTGTCT